CTCCCCCGCCCTCTCTCCTTCCCCCCTCTTCACCCTGCAGCGGAAGCAAATGCGAGTGCCCTTGGATCCACACGACTTTGTGTCGCTGCTGCCTGCCATGGCTGGATGGAGCAGCGTCAAAGGTGAGGCAGTAAGATGAGAGGTGAGCAGCCCTCCGGTAGGTGGGCCATGCCATGCCATATGAGTGGGTTCATCGCCTTACCTCTGGATCCGCATGACTTTATGCTGCTGCCGCCGGCCTTGGCTGGGTGGAGCTGCAAAAGGTGAGGCAGTAAGGAGTTGACAGGTAGGCAGTGGGGTTCCAAGGCGAGCAGCTCTCGGGTGGGTAGTTGGCCCATGCCATGCCATGCCATGCCATGCAAGTGGAGCGATCCCCTTGCTCTGTCCTTGGATCCTCATGACGTTGTGCTGCTGCTGCCTGCCATGGCTAGATGGAGCACCGTCCAAGGTGAGCAGTGAGTGTGAAAACTATGTATTCGCATAGCATGTAGGCATGCCATGCCATAGCGTGTGAAATGTGAGCAGTGAGGGAGGGTGAAAGTTGAACTGGTGGGAAGTGGGAAGCGGTTCTTACCCACGTTCTACTCTTCCCCCCCCCTTTCCCAGGACCCCTTCCTTCCACCATGCAACCCCCCTTTCCCCTGCACCTACTCAACCTCTTTAATTCCACCTGACTTTCTCCCTCGACCGAGCATCGACCCCCGCACAACCTACAAGACGCTGGCGCTAGCAGCGTGCGTAAACGCGTCAATCCTCGAGCTCTCCTGTGAAGACGTGGTGAAGTCGCTTGTAAATGCTACCTCTCCTGTAATGCATGCCCTGCCCTCCTCATCAGGCAACGACCCCCGCACCACATACAAGACCCTGGCGCTAGCAGCATGCGTAAACGCGTCAATCCTCGAGCTCTCCTGTGAAGACGTGGTGAAGTCGCTTGTAAATGCTACCTCTCCTGTAATGCATGCCCTGCCCTCCTCATCAGGCAACGACCCCCGCACCACATACAAGACCCTGGCGCTAGCAGCATGCGTAAACGCGTCGATTCTCGAGCTCTCGTGTGAGGATGTGGTGAAGAAGCGACTAGACCTGGCGACCTACAAGAAGCTGCCCAACTCGTTTGGTGTCATCGTCAAGTTTCTGGAGTTCGGCCACCGGGTGAGTGGGTGGGCAGGCCTGAGAGCTTTCAGGTAGGTGGGTGGGTGGGTTGAGTCGGTGTGTTGGCGGGTGGGTTAGGCCGGGTGTGGGCTTGAAAGACCCAGTGTAGTGGGAGCTCTCATGTGAAGACGTGGTGAAGAAGCGACTAGACCTGGCAACGTACAAGAAGCTGCCCAACTCGCTCGGCGTTATTGTCAAATTCCTCGAGTTTGGCCACCGGGTGGGTGGATTGGTGGGGTGTGCCTTGTATTGGGTGCATGCTGGGTGAGTTGAGAGTTCTGGGTGGATGGGTCGGTGGGTCAGTGCGTTGTTGGGTCGGTGGGGGGTAAGGCCAGGTATGGGCTTGCGAGGATGTGGTGAAGAAGCGGCTAGACTTGGCGACCTACAAGAAGCTGCCCAACTCTTTCGGCGTTATCGTCAAATTCCTCGAGTTTGGCCACCGGGTAGGTCCGTGTGATGAGATGAGAATTATGTGGAATTCTCTCTTAAGTGTGCTGGTGTTCTGTATCAGGTGCTCTTTGAGTTTCTGTTGTTGTCATCCCATGGCATGGCTAACCTTTTCCGTCGTCGTGTTTCCGGTCATCTATTGCCCCGCTTGTGTTCGGCGTGCTCGCTGCTCCTGCCGCCTTGCTCTTGCAGAATAGCGGATCATTCAGTAGCGAGACGGAAATCAAGGAACTCTGGGACATCACTGTTGCATGTGAGTTTAGGGTTTAGTTTGGTTGATTATGTTATCAACGTCTGTCACTTCAACAGATCCTGTGAGTGTGGTGTGTTGCATGGTCGCTATTCAACTCTCAGTTATTAAAGCAACGCTGCTTGAACCTTGTCCCTGTCATTTTTTTCCCTGCCAGCATGCACGGAGTGCCTGCCCCTGTGGCCCCAGCTGAAGCCAACTGTACTGTTCATGCTCCCTTCACATCCTGCCCCTGTTCACCATCCGTTCCCCCCACTCACTCGTCCCTATCCCCCTCAATACACCAGCATGCACGGAGTGCCTGCCACTGTGGCCCCAGCTGAAGCGAGCCATGGTCAAGTCGGAGTATTGGGGCAAGGTGTCGCGAAACAAGTGAGTCAGACGGGGTGAAGTGAGTTGAAGTGAACTGCCTTGGAAACAAGGTGTGTATGAAGTTACAACAGAGCTGCCTTTGAAATTCCCAAGGCCCAGCTGAAGCAACCCATTGTAAAGTCGGAGTATTGGGGCAAGGTGTCGCGAAGCAAGTGAGTCAGTGTGTAAGGATGTTATATATGAGCTGCATCTGAGCATTCTCTAAGGCACAGCTGAAGCGAGCCATGGTCAAGTCAGAGTGTTGGGGCAAGGTCTCGCGAAACAAGTGAGTCATTGTGTATAAAGTTACCGCAGAACTGCCTTTGAGAATTTCTTCCTCTGCACCTGAAGCGAGCCATGATCAAGTCGGAGTATTGGGGCAAGGTCTTGCGAAACAAGTGAGTGCTTTCCTGGATGTGAGTTTGTGTGAAGCTCAATTGGAACTGCCTCTGGAGATTCCCAATCGGAACTGCCTCTGGAGATTCTCAATTGGAACTGCCTCTGGAGATTCTCAATTGGGACTTCCTCTGCACCTGAAGCGAGCCATGGTCAAGTCGGAGTATTGGGGAAAGGTCTTGCGAAACAAGTGAGTGCTTTCCTGGATGTGAGTTTGTATGAAGCTCAATTGGAACTACCTCTGGAGATTCTCAATCGGAACTGCCTCTGGAGATTCTCAATCGGAACTGCCTCTGGAGATTCTCAATCGGAACTGCCTCTGGAGATTCTCAATTGGAACTGCCTCTGCACCTGAAGCGAGTCATGGTCAAGTCAGAGTATTGGGGGAAGGTCTCGCGAAGCAAGTGAGTCATTTTTGGTGAAGCTCACTTGCAACTGCCTCTGAAGTTTTTCAAAGGCGCAATGAAGGCTGGTAACCCGGGAACGCCTTAACCAGGTGTGCAAGGATGCGAGGCTGAGGGAGCTGCTGACAGTGGTGGCCTTCAGCCCTCAGCCCGCACTTCACTCTTTCCCCTGCTACTTTTCCCCTCCAACACCTTCCCCCCACCCTGCCCCCCCCACCCCCTAGGCTGGTAACTCGGAAGTGGCTGAACCAGATGTGCAAGGATGCGAGGCTGAGGGAACTGCTGACAGTGGTGGCTTCAGCCCGTAAATTCCCTGGATTCCACTCCTCATTCCCCATCCCTTCCCACTCTCATCCACTCTTCCCCGACACTAGGCTGGTAACTCGGGAGCGTTTGAACCAGGTGTGCAAGGATGCGAGGCTGAGGGAGCTGCTGGCAGTGGTGGCCTTCAGCCCATGAATGGCCCTCGTTCTGCTAACAAGGTTTATCATTTCGAAAAGACAACCTATTCATTGGTTCTTTTGAAGATTATTCATATCTTATCTTGTGGGAGACGTAGTGCAAGCCAGTCATTGGTTGCGGAGCAAGGAGAGTGAAGTCTCCTGGCTCTGACACAATTGATGGAATATAATAGAGATGTAGTTGCTAATTGTAGCAACTTTTAGCCACTAATCATGGCAACTTTTGGCAATATTCATTTGTGCTAGGAGCACAAGATCTCTAACAGGAGCAGAATCAACTCCATCCCTGGTTGGTCCGCGTGCTGGTTCAACACGAAATGGTTGAACCGCGATTTCATTAGTCCAGGAGCATGTGCAGTATTGAATTACATCCACTGGATTTAAGATAATAATGCTACAGTACAACTGCATTGCCGGAACAATCTGTGTTTGCCCATGCAACCACATCACAAGCAATCGCGGAACCAGGGCCCAAAATTGGTTTGGCCCACCCTGTCAAATCAGAGTTCCAGGGTGGGCCAACCCTGACTCCTAGGGTAAAAAATCTCGCACCCTGATGAAAACAGGGTAAAAAAAAACTTCCTCGGATTCCATGAATAATGATATATTTTATGCGAACAGAGCAAGTTCAAATGTCTCACTTGGTTAGGGTTGATGCTGTGAGGCGAAAGGTCACCAGTTCGGCGAACTTGTTGGGAAGCAAGCGTAGTGCATTACTCGCCGGCGTCATTTTGCGCAACATCCACCGTATCCTCGCTACGAAAGACTCGGTATCAGTGTAACAGGTTTAAAACACTGATGAAAGTCAGGGGAAACAATCTATAACTCGGATTTCATAAGGGTACAAAACTTCTAACTCTTTATGAGTCAGGGTAAGAAATCCGGGAGCCTGACTGGGTCAGGGTAACCCCAAAAAAAGCGGCCGCCAGTCAGGGCAATCAGGGTATTTTACCCTGACATTTTGGGGCCTGCGCGGAACAGCTGTGTGACGCACTTTCTACTGGTCAGGACAGCTCCCGGGATAGTCGGGAGCGGTACAGGGCACAGCGTTGCTAGCTGGGGCAGCCTCAACTCCTCGTCGGTTCAAAAGGAACCGGCCGGCGGAACACGGAGGTGATGAGCCACACCACAGTACCGTACTCCTCCGCAGGACCATACTCTTCTGCTGGACCATACTCGCATGGTACCCTTAAGGCATTTTCTCTATTATTGATCAAGGCAGCCCCCGGGGTTTTCGGGATTGGAACGGGGAACTGCATTGCTCACAGGAGCAGCCTCAACTCCCCTTCGGGTCAGAAGGCATCGAAACACGTGCAATCGTTTCTCTGCCTCTCCGCTTGCTAGTGCAGCATCGGCATATGCTTTGGTGCTCCATAATCGCTCTGATAGGAGGGAGGGAGAAAAACATCAACAAATTAAAAGTCAGATGAGTTGACCTTCTCCCCCCACATGCACATCTCGCCCCTTTCCAGTAGCTAACAGGGTGCAACGCTCTTCATACTGCAACATGATGGTACAGCAGCTTGCCCTTCATCTCACCAGCAGCAGCAGCAGCTCGTGGCCAGATGGTCGGCATGAAGTCGGACGAGTCAACCTTCTCGCCCCACATGCACACCTCGCCCCCTTCCAGTAGATGCTCCGGTACAGAGCCATCCACTACAAGGTGTTGTGTTGGGTCTGTACTGTACACTCTATTCCAATCCTGCATAAAGGATGAAAGGGAAACGGACAGGGAAAGGAAGAGGAGGTAGTGAGAGCCTCGTTATATGCTACTGGATGGATGGTTGTTGCTCAGTTTCCTATTATTGAGTGCCCCAATATATAGCACTTCTCGTGCCCATATAATGTACCCGCTAAAGTAAATTCCTGATACACATTGCTGCAGCTAATTTAGAAGACTTCACATGTCCTGCTTCAAACAATGTCCTCTTTTTTAAGTGCTTCGCCATAAGCCACTCACCACGTCCATAGAGTCGGGGTACCATCCGCCATACACATTGCTGTAGATTATTCGGAACCCTTTAAGCATCATGCCCTCAATGTTATCCTCGATAAAAAGCTTTTCGTTATAAGCCGCTCACCACATCCATAGAGTCGAGGTACCATCCGCCATACACATTGCTGTAAATAATTCGAAAGTTGTCACGAGCCATGCTTCCAAGGATGTCAACATTCAACCTGACACAAGCGAAACAATGATATATTCTGTCAGAGCCAGGGCAGAAGCAAGGGTAGCATGTCAGACGAAGAAAAGAGAAGAACGTGGCATTTTCTTGTATTCTAAACATGAGAATTTTTTTGCTATCGACCTAAGATAGATATTCTTTTAATCATACCAGTTTTGAAGGATGGTGGTCGTCTTGTTAAGGTCCTCTGAAAAACCCTGGTATGATTCCTCCCTGCACATGTGAAGGGAAACAAGCAGAAAGGTGACTTAGAAGTTCACTCCAGAATTTTTTGAAAGTTTTGAAGAATGGCGGTTGTCTTGATGAGGTCCTCTGAGAAACCCTGATAGGATTCCTCCCTGGATGCAGAGGGGGAAGAAGCAGAAAGGTGCCTCAGAAGTTCACTCAGGAGAAGGTTGAAAAGTTTTGAAGGAAGGCGGTCGTCTTGACTAGGTCCTCTGAAAAAACCTGATAGGATTCCTCCCTGGATGCAGAGGGGGAAGGAGCAAAGAAATGAGGAGGAAAACAACAAGGTTAATCCCTGCCAAGGGGTAGGAGGGAGACGTGAACAACTCGGCTAGAGAATTAAGATGAGACCATAATACCGTGGGACATGTGAGCTTGGATGGGAGAAGTCCATGGGATGAGATGACACGAAACCATAATTACCACAGCACACATACCATACAATAGTCTTCTCCCATCCCAACTCCAAGGCAATGGATCGAACTCGGTTGGAGAAGTAGCGGACGGCATCCCTTGGCTGCATTCCCTGCTGGTTCATCCTGTGGTGTGGAGGGCAAGCGTGAGAGGTGGGGCAGAGAGAACAGACATCTTGAGACGTCTGAGACAAAATGATACATCATAGCAACTTCACAACAAAATGACGATTCAACATTCTTCTGAGACGTCTCAAGGGACATACGTAGCTAGCTTGTGGTATCACTGACTGACACAATGATACATACATCATAGCAACTTCACAAGAAAATCATTGGGAAGCCTTGTGCTGCTTGAATTCGTAGCTTACCACTGGGAAATCCGTTCAGACTGTATCCAGCAGTCTGGTGGAAGGGAGGCAGGTACAGGATCAAGGGGGAAGCGGGGGAGAGAATGGAAGAGGTAAGCGAGAATGCACTGCACACCACTGGAATATCAGTTCAGACTGTGTCCAGCAGTCTGGTGGAAGGGAGGCAATGGAAAGAGAGAACAGGCGAGGCGAGTTTAGGGTTATACCTATTCGACTTTGAATATTTCATTGAGTTTGAATATTTCAAATAAGTATAACCCTAAACCCAACCCCCTTTCCCTTCTCTCACTCTCGTCCCATCCCACTGCCACTCATGTGCCCCGTCCTGTTCCCGCCCTTCTCTCATCCTGCCTCTCTCATTTCCCCTTCCCAATCTCTCTCTCCCTCCCCCTCCCTGTCACTTACCTTCCTTCACCTCATCCCCGCCTATGTGTATTCTGCTGCCTGCCAACACTGACCATAGATCTACCTCCCTTACCTCCTTCTCACACTCCCTCCCCTCCCCCGCTCCCTCCCCCTCCCTGTCCCCTACCTTCCTTCACTTCATCCCCGCCTATGTGTATTCTGCTGCCTGTGAACACTGACCGCAGGTCTGCAGGGGAGGTTGATTGGGGGTGTGGGGCATGAAGAGGGAAAAGTGCAGAAGGGAAGGGGAATGGAAGAAAATTGGAGTGGAGTGAAGAGGAACGAAGGAGAATGAGGGCGAATGAGGAAAATGAACGGGAATGAAGGGGAACGAAGGGGCAATCAGCTGGGTAAAATTCCACTCCAATGTGTATCCTGCTGCTGGCAGCAAACACTGACAGGGAAAAAGAAGAGAAAGACGAGGAGGAATTGAAGCCCTATCTTTAACGTACCTGTGAGCACGCTTTTGATCAGCTCAAATGTGAAGTCGTTTGAAACATCAAGAGGCTCCTTGCATTGCATGTGGGGTTGGGGTGACTTTTGGGTCGACTATGAATATTCGGCCTTTTGGCGCTCCTGTGAGTGAGGATAGGCATGTTAGGTTGTAACGTACCAGTGAGCACGCCCTTAATCAGCTCAAATGTGAAGTCGTTTGAGACATCAAGAGGCTCCTTGCAGGTGGGGCTGGGGTAGAGCACAGGGTAGCCCACTCCCCTGTAAGGACGGATGGGAGGGGTAGGGTACGGAGGCAGTGACAGGAAGTGAGGCAGAAGAGGCAGGGAGGTTCTACAGGCACACCCTGAGGCTCTTTGCGGGTGGGGCCTGGGATAGAGCACGGGGTAGCCCACCCCCCTGTAAGGACGGATGGGACAGGGGGTAAGGAGGCAGCGACAGGAATTGAGGAACGCATAAGAGGGAGGGAGGTTGTACAGGCGGGACTCCTTGCAGGTGGGGCTGGGGTAGAGCCCGGGTATCCCACTCCCCTGGGAGCACGGATGGGATAGGGAGAGGGGAAGGAGAAGGGAAGGTGTAATCAGAGGCGGGCGGTGTGAGCCATGTCTCTAGGCACATGCAGGGACAATGAGAGGCCCTTGCAGGTGGTGTGGTGTTGGGGTAGAGAAGAGCACGGGATAGCCCACTCCCCTGAGGGTATGGATGAGATGGGGTAAGGATAGAGGATGGGACTGGCAGGGAAGGGAGGATTGGGGAAAGTGTGAGTCATGAACCTAGCCTAGGAGCATAAAGAGACTCCTTGCGGGAGGGACCTGGGCTGGGATAGAGCACGGGGTAGCCCACTTCCCTGGGAGGACGGATGGGTTGGGGCAGGGAGGGGGGAAATGGGTACGCATGGATGGCCTGGGCAGGATTCAGTCAAGTGTTGAAACATGTCAAGATTTGACTGATCGCTACATGTCTTCATGAAAAAAGGCATGGTCAGTAGCCCAGTCAGACAAAATGTCTCACCATGAGGTCGCATGGGCGGGAGTGTCGATTTCAGGGATGACCACGATGCCACGTGCTGCTGCATACCTGGTGGGTGGAGAGGGGTGCAGAGCAGTGCAAAGGGGTGAAGAGGCGTGAATATCGGCGCAGTAAAGCACAAGCAGAGTGTGCATCATTCCGCCTGGGAGAGACTCCCTCCCAGAGGAGAGGGAAAAAGGAAGTCCTTTCACAATCACCTGAAAAAGCACCTGAGTATTCACCTGACAATGTGTTTGGCGTCCTTGAGAGTGTATCGCTCTGCCTGGGAGAAAGCTCCCTCCCAGAGGCGAGGGAAGGAGGGCGTCTCAATGGGGAAGGACTGAGCGTCCACCAGGTGCCAGTGGCTGGAGAGGGGTGGATAGGGGTGGAGAGGGATGGAGAGGGGTAGAGAGAGGGGTGGAGAGGGATGGAGATGTGTGAATGTAAGAACTGAAGTGCATGTGATGCATGGTGGTGTAGGAAGGGGTAGAGGCGGAAGGGAGAAAGAAGCCGCTCTGCGGAGGGGCTGGAGAGTGGTGGAGATGGGTGGAAAGGTACAAATATCAGGCGATGTAAACACAGGGTATGCATGTATGCAACCCACCCATCCCTGCATCTACCCAGTCCTCCAACCTACCCATCCAATTCCTGCACTCACAGCACGTTGAGCTTGGCATAAGACATGGCATCAAGCACTCTCTCTATCTCCACCACCGGGAGGAAATGCCGCGCCGTGTCTGCTCAACGCAAGGGGGATGGGGAGTGGGGGGTGAGGGAGAGGAAGAAGGAAGGGGAGAAAAGGTCAAATCGTGTCTCCTCAACGCAAGGGAAGAGAGGGCGACCGTGGATAGTCACAAGGCGAGATGGGTGGTGATAGGTAGGGTAGCAACACAGCTGCCTATGAGGCGCCCTACATCATCATCTCATCACTCCCCATCCCGCTGCAGGGTTTTTTTGGGAATTCTCCAAAAAACCCGATAGGTAGGGTAGCAACACAGCTGCCTATGAGACGCCCTACATCATCTCATCACTTCCCATCCCACCGATGAGAAACCCTGCCAGCCCCCGGTGGTGGAAGCAGGGAGCATCTTCCACTGTGAGAGGCACACCGTTCATTGTCACGAGGCGAGATGGGTGGTGATAGGTAGGGTAGCACACAGCTGCCTACGAGGCGCCCTACATCATCTCATCACTTCCCACCAATGAGAAACCCTGCCGCTCTTCATTCACCAATGAGCAGCCCCCGGTGGTGGAAACGGGGAGAATCTGCCACTGTGAGAGGCACACCATAGATAGTCACGAGCCGAGATGGGTGGTGGTATTGCCACCGCTGCTGCTCATGGGGTCTATGAAAAAACCCATCTCTTCACACTCACCAATGAGCAGCCCCCGGTGGTGGAAACGGGGAGAATCTTCCACTGTGAGAGGCACACCATGAATAGTCACGAGCCGTGAGGGGTGGTGGTAGCGACACAGCTGGCTGAGCGTCTGTCAGGGCAAAAGGAGATATGCAGAGACAGAGGTTAGAGGTTGAAGAGGGTGTGTGGGAGGAAGAAGAGGGGGGCACAGTTGAGAAAATGAAATTGAAGCAGGAAGCAACTTTTACCACTCTCTGACGGCACCAAACGATGTGCTGGCCTGACGGGCCTGACACGAGCGTGGCATATGCCTTACCTTCTAATCCATTACCCTGGTACCGCCTGCCTGCCAACAACGCTCACCGCTAACGCTCTGAGGGCAAAAAATGATGTGCTGGCCTGAGGGGACCTCACCTGAGTGTGGCATATGCTTTACCTTCCAATCCTGGTACCGCCTGCCTGCCCCTGAGCCTTACCTGCTTGATATACTTCCTACGTGCTTGAATGTATCAGCCCCCAATAACGCTTACCTCTAACGCTCTGAGGGCACCAAACGATGTGTTGGTCTGAGGGACCTGACCGGCATATGCCTTACCCTCTCCTCCTTATACCGCCCGCCTGCTTCTGACCCTGCCTGCTTGAATGTATCAGCCCCTAACAACGCTTACCTCTAACGCTCTGAGGGCACCAAACGATGTGTTGGCCTGACGAAAGAGGGACGGGGGAGGGAAGGGGACGAGGGCGGAAGAGAAGGCAAGGGGATATGGGAGGGAGGAGCGAAGAGGACGAGGGAAAGCGGAATGTGGTGAGAGGTTTGGAGGGGCTGGAAGGGTTGGAGTGGGTGGAGAGGTGGGTGGTGGGTGGACGGAGCAGCAGCAGAAGCAGCAGCAGCAGCAGCAGAAGCAGCAGCAGCAGCAGCAGCAGCAGCAACGGCACAAGACTAGCACCACCTGGCCTGAAAACTCTCATAGATCGACGTACCTTTATCAGAGCGGCACCTGGCTCTCTTGTTCCTCCGAGCGAGAGAGAGTAGCTCTCATCCACCCCTACATCCAGCTGAAAGTTGGCACGAAGAGTGAAGGGATAGAGAGCGATAACTTTCTGAGACTTCTCGAATGTTGTCTGAATCAGAGAGCCGCCTGGCTCTCTCGTGCTCCAAGCGAGAGAGTACAGCTCTCATCCACCCCTACGTCCAGCTGAGAGTTGACAGGACGCTAGAGAGAGGAAAGAGAGAGAATGAGTATTTTCAGTTAACAAAAAAAACCTCCTGCATTCGTCGAAAGCAGATACACGCACTTCTGCCAGAAGTCACTCTCAGTCTGGCCTTCCCTCGTTAGAGTGCCCCCTCACATCCTCACCGGTTCTCCTGGCCGCGCTATTTGCACATCGATTTGCTCTATCACCACCACCGTCGCACGGGAGTTGGTCGCAGCTTTACCCCCCTGCGACGTCCCACTCGCAAACGAATCGTCGAGCTCGGAATAGTCGTCGCCATACTCGTGCGCGAAGATAATGCGATGGTACCGGTTGTACGCTTTTGTCACAAGGTCACGAGAGGAATCCTCGTCGGCCGCTGAGGCTTTACCAAATGAGACGGTCAACTGGCTAAATGGGCTAAAAATTGCCGGCCTGACAACATCCTTTCCATTGGACGACTTAAACTGACGTGGCATGGGCCAGACGCGCATTTTCGGGTCCAGCAGGCCCGGATATTTCGTAGCCAATAGATCGCCGTCGCGGTTATTCGCTCCCTGTCGCACGAAATCGTCAAGCCGCCGCTCCCATTCTTCCATGCGGCGCTGATCCATTTCAGGCCCTGCATTGCCAGGAGCTTCGCCGTCATTTCCGGAGGTGGAGACCGGTAACAATTCTGAATCATACATTTTGTGCGGGATCAGAAGAACTATTAGCACGCAGAGGATAAGGAGGAGGAGGATGATCAAGAAAAAGGAGGCTCGGGCAGGATGTGAGAAATTTGTAGCTGTTGATATTGACCCGGATTTAGGCTGCGCCGAATCGATGAACGACTGAGTTTCTAGACTGGAGTGGTCGTCGTCATTTGACATCATTGGTCGAGACTCGTTGTCATTGTTCATGCTAACAACGGCCTCGTCGTCTGTCCGTGTCCGAGCCGACATGTCGATCTAGCGTTTACGCTCCGACTAGGAAGTTCCGAGTAACAAAAACAATCACGAACCGCGGAGCTACGTCACTGCCTTCGTGACTGTAAGACTGCTTTAGCGCAAACGAAATTGCAGTCAATCAGTAGTGCGTGCTAGCGGAGCCATTTGTTACTAGCATCAGCGAACGAGCTTCGCAGTGCTTTTTCCAAATTAGTCGAATGTGGTGGCTAACGGGGAGCGGAAGTGCAGGCAGCTGGGATTGGAAGGAAAGGACATGACCATTGTCAATAAATAAAGAGAACTGCTGGTAATAAATTACATGTGACTTGAGCGAAGACATCACCAATACATTTGACTAGGGCGAGCCTGGATGACCAGGATCATCTAAGGGAATGTGGTGCTTGTAAAAATATTGACAGGTAGCCACGCTGTACCGCTAAGAACCGCTTTCAATGTCTCTGCACCATCTGACATCCATCTCTCCCAAGGCTCTGGTTTGTAACTGGCACTAGCAGGCAGCGAATGTGACTTTGCTGTAGCTAAAGTGAAGAGACGAATGCGGAGGTTCACTTGGCTCTGGAATTCATGGGTTGCATGGTGTCCTTCGCTAAAAGACCGCCTCAAATTACAGTGGTTCGAAGGTGTGATATACGGTTTCATACAGTTTCGTGCGATTGTATGATGATAGCTGATTGGGCGTCCGGCATCGTCGCCTCTCTCCGCACCATCAATCCTGCCACGAGAAACTCTCCTCCAGTTGAGAATGGGGAAGAGTAGAGTAGAGTTGCGGGACACTTGAGAAAAGGCCAGAGCTCACGCAAATGATCAGCGAAATCGTTCGTTCGCAGAGGCTCTGTGATGGAAAGAAGCATACACCAAGCCTGCTCAGTCCCGTAGAACTTGGGAGGCAACTAGGTAACCCGAAACAAAGAGCCAATAACGGCCTGTGTTTGAATAACGCGTGGCGTAGCTGTGATTGGTAGATAATGTTTTCAGCTTTATCCCGTTGTCGACATCACCGAGGTTGACTTCATCAGAACCTTGGGATTCTCAAATGAGAAATTTTCCCGACTTCCACGACCTCGAGTCGAGAATTCACTTATTTCTTTGGTCCCTCGTCACTTTTGGGGAATTCTTCTGCCTGGGTTCCAGGCAGATCAAACCTCAAACCTTCGAGGGGAGGACGTGGCGCCGTGGAGTTTGACACGCAAGTATCAGGATTGATACAGATGCACAAGCACAACACACAGATACGCCTCACAAGTAGCTCTCCGTTCCAAGTTTCCTCGTCGTCGACCCTATCTCAGGTGGCCTTTGCTCAAGGCGTCGTCGTTCACCCGTGCATCCCTCGATCTTATCCCCACTCCCTCATTCGAACTTCAATCGAGAGGACCCGAGACGATGTCGCAAGGAGGATTCGTTCCCATGCCTGGCTCCGCTAACCCTCCAGCCGTAAACGGAGACTATAATAATGGAGATTTCGAGTCCCAGTTCCTTCTTCCTGAATCCGAGCTGCTGCAAGCTCTTCCTGAGGATATTCCTCTGGAGCACCTAAGAAAGTCTTTTAGCGTCGACACTCTCCTGACTGATTTTCAGCGCACTGGGATTCCAACCGCAAGCCCTTATGCTCCGAGACACGCAGTCGCTCCATCAGCTGCTGACGGGGTAGACCAGGGAAAGCACCGAGAAGGAACTACTGGAAGAGCGTTTCTAGGAGGTTCAGAAAAAGCGGACAGATTAGGAGCATCTGGAAAATCTCACGAGCGCGATTCAGAATCTACCATGGCAGCGGCGCCTGGGACACTAGCGGTAGCGCCGCCGCATCTTCTGGAATCCATGTTTCCCGGCATGGAGTTCCCTAGGCCGTTCGCGAACGGCGACGTCGCGAACAGTCTCGCGAACGGCGAGAGCGCTAGGCTCGCGCAAGCGGATGTAGCGAACAGCTTCTATGAAACCGGCAAAAGAGCCGGTGACAACCGGCGCGGCGGTAGCAGCAGCGTTGCCGGTAGTTCCGCTGCTGCGACGTCTTCATCCGGTGCCGTAGACGCTGCTGACGTGGCCGGGTTACACGCGCAACGGGACGCGGTTTTGCGTGGGTTCGAGATCACGGAACCGGCGAGAGACGACAAGGAAACGGGCGAGAAGGCCAAGTACATGGCGTCGATTCTGGAGGCTTATCAGAAGCTGCTAGAAGAACGGACCCAGTACCACTTCGGTACGTCAAAATGGACTTCATGTTTGGTTTTGAGTTGGGTTTTTGAAGGCAGTGAGAGGGGGAGAAGGTGAAGTACATGACGTCGACTCTGGAGGCTTACCAGAAGCTGCTGGAAGAACGGACTCAGTACCACTTCGGTACGTCAGAATGGGGTTTAAATTTGGTTTTGAGTTGAGTTTCTGAGGCAGTAGGAGAGGGAGAAAAGTAGGCTACATGGCTTCGGTCGAGGTGTACCAAAAGGTGGTGCCAGAACGCACTCAGTACCACTTAAGCGAGTCGGGATGTTGTCAGAATGGAGTTGATGTCGGTATTTAAGGTGTGGCGAAGGCAAGGAGAGTGGCAGTCGGGATAGGTAGAATCATTGCGGTATTATGCATTAATGCCCATCTGAAGCTGCTGGGAAGGACGCACTCAGTACCGCTTTGGTGCGTGTGGGTGTTCGGGCTTTATGTATAGCTGTAATGAATAAAGCGCGGAGCTACCAGCTTGTTGACTTTTTTGCATTCATTCACCTTTCGGTATGGGAAGGTGGTGGGAGGGTGTTGGTAGATTGGGGGGCCGGGGGTTTGTGCCTGGCGGTTATTTTTAACGTTTAATCACTATCTGAAATTATTGGAAACAAGAGCGAAGAAACCAGCTTGGTAAGGGGAAGGGTGTTGGTAGAATGGGGCAGAGCGCATATGTATGCAACAACTGTCACGGTGCTCGTTTGTGGTTGCTGGATTGTATTATTGCGCCTAGAGCGCCTAGAGAACTGCATCATTTCCATTTGCTGTTTATCTCCTTCCATTTACATCGTACAACCTTGATTCTGGCATATATAGCACCTGATTACTTCTGTCGTTTCCATTTCTTGTCTTCTTTTTTTTCTCCTCCCAGGCTACCCATACAACCTGGATTTTGACTATGGCGCCCTCATAGGTCTGCAGCACTTCTCCATTAACAATCTCGGGGATCCCTTTATCGAGAGCAACTATGGCGTGCACTCCCGTCCGTTCGAGGTATACCTGAGTCGACTCAAAAGTTTTTACCATAAACAATCTCGGGGATCCCTTTATCGAGAGCAACTTTGGCATGCACTCCCGTCCGTTCGAGGTATTTCCTTCTGCCTCTGCAAAACCCTGGTTAAGCCCCTAGGCTTTCTTTTCTTAGGCACTAAACCTTCCCTTACTCCACGCAACTCCTGTGTTTCTGCCTATGCCAGGTGGGAGTGCTCAACTGGTTTTCCCGCCTGTGGGACTTAGACGAGGGCGACTACTGGGGCTACATAACCAACTGCATCCTAACATTTCCCCCCGTGCACCCCTCTTCACCACTCTTCACCCCTTCCCCCACCTTCGATGCCAGGTGGGAGTGCTCATCTGGTTTTCCTTCCTGTGGGACTTAGACGAGGGCAACTACTGGGTCTACATCACCAACTGTGTCAAAAGTCATCTATAAATGAAGCAGGCCTCCTTCTGTCCACCGCTCTGCACCGCTCTTCATTTATCCTCATCACTGTCCTTTACCCATCTGGCAGGTGGGAGTGCTTAACTGGTTTGCTCGCCTGTGGGACTTAGACGAGGGCGACTACTGGGGCTACATCACCAACTGCGGCACAGAAGGGAATCTCCACGGCATCCTGGTTGGGTACGTCTTGCCCGTCTGCACCGCTCTGCACCCCTCTGCACCCTTCTGCACCCCACTTCATCATTCTTTCTCCACTCATCCCTGTTCGCCTCTCCTCATCCCTTTTCATCCATTTCCAGCCTTCTTTGTCCTCTTGGCCCTCTTCCTCCCCTCCCCTTGCGTCTCTCCTCCTCCCATTGCCCCTCTTCCTCCCCTCCGCCTACCTCTGTTCCTTCCTCCCTCCCCTCTCCCAGTCGAGAAGTCCTGCCAAAAGGAGTCCTGTACGCGACTAGGGAGTCCCATTACTCGGTCTTCATGGCAGCTCGCATGTATCGCATGGAGTGTGAGAAGGTGGCCACTCACACCGCTGGGGAGACAGGGACTCAGTCATTCCCTTCCCTACTCACTCCCTCTCTTCCTCTCCGTCCTCCCAGGAGGGAGGTCCTGCCAGCCGGGGTGCTGTACGCATCTAGGGAGTCCCACTATTCGGTCTTCAAAGCAGCTCGCATATATCGCATGGAGCGTGAGAAGTCATGTGGAGACACCCATAAGCATACTCGCTCTTCCCCCCTCCCTTGCTCCCTTTCTCCCAAGAGGGAGGTCCTGCCAGACGGGGTGCTGTACGCGACTAGGGAGTCTCACTACTCGGTCTTCAAGGCAGCTCGCATGTATCGCATGGAGTGTGAGAAGGTGGCCACTCACACGGCCAGGGACATTGAGGTTTGCTTTTCTCAAGATGGCACTTGCCTCTCTTTTTCTCCCTCTCCCCTCTCCCAGGAGGGAGGTCCTGCCAGACGGGGTGCTGTACGCGTCTAGGGAGTCCCATTACTCTGTCTTCAAGGCAGCTCGCATGTATCGCATGGAGTGTGAGAAGGTGGCCACTCACACGGCTGGGGACATTGAGGTTTGCTTTTCTCAAGATGGCACTTGCCTCTCT